CGGTAAAAGCGGCCCGCTGCATGTGAGGCACTGCTTGGAGTCCCAGCGTGGAAGAAACGCGCCCGCAAACTGGAGCGCGCGTCCAGGCGGCAAGGGGCCTGGGAGGGCCAGCGCGCAGGGGGCCGAGACGGCTCGACCAAGCCCCCCAAGGCAGGGCCAGAAGACAGCACGAGCAACTGGGAGAGCACATGTGACGGGGAACGCGGCGCGCAGCCCGGAGACACGATAGGTGAGTGACCCAGGCCGCGGGAGGAGGTGGCGGGGGGGCCGGGCAGAGAAACGCAGTAGACGACCGCGGCGCGCAGACGCACCTGTGACCGCTAGCCGAAGTAGGTTTGGGACAACAGCGACAACTATGCAAGCAGGTGGCTGCCTACTTTGCCCTGGTAATGAAGCGCCAACCACCGCCAGGAACACTATTCAAAACGCGCGCGCACACACACACCACACACACGCGCGGGCGATGTTTGTCCTCCTCTGGCGAGGTGACGACGCCGTCGCGAATGATGCTGGGCATCATCGCCTTGGTGGGGCGCCGCCCAGCAGGGAAGTCTGACGCGACGGATGCTCAGCAGTGACAATCACGGAAGCGCAGACGGGCGGGCACCACTGCGGGCCCCAGACGAGGAGGAAGAAGGAACACCAGTGCGGGCACAGCGAGAAGACGAAGAAGTACCGATGCGGGCCCCAGCAGCAGTGGAGGAAGACGCACTGGCAGCGCCAGGAAGCTTGGCGTCTGGCCCAGCAGCAACAGGGGGGCCCAGGCATGGCCTGTGCCACGCGCGAATGAGCTCATGTGTGTCGACCTTGCGGTGACATAAGAAGCATTCCCACCACGTTTCTTGCGAAGTGGCACGTGACATCCGGTCGCAGCAGTCACGCGCTCGCGGCTGGTGGAGCCCGTCCAAAAGTGCAGCTGGGTCCTGGCACGGCGCTTGCCCTCCTCGTCGAGCGCTATGCCCTGCCGAGCCTGCTTGGCAGGGTGGCTGGCAACGTGCGCAGGGCTCACGTACGTGAGCGCGCCATCGTCCCCCACCATATGGACTGTGATCCCCTGCTGCGCAAGAGCGCGGTGAGCGGCCGCACGCTGCCTCTGGCCCCCCTGCTTGGCCGAGAGCTCGAGGCCAGCCTTCTTGATGGCGCTCAGAGCGCAGCCATACTATGCCAAGCACTCGCTGGGGGGTGTCGGCGCCGATGACGTGCTCCTGACGCCGATCGCCAGGGCACCGCCCAGGGCAGTCTTGGAGACGTGGTCCATATGCAGCTTGCTCTGTCGGACAAAGGCGTCCTGGAATAAGGCCTCGAGCTGTGTGCACAAAGCGCGGCAGTCCATGATCGGCCGCATCGCCGAGGCGTGCGTTGTCGCCTCCAGCGCGCAGCCGAACACGCGCCAGGAGCAGGCGAATCAGCGGACAGGCGCAACGAAGCCCACGGCATGCTGTTCCAGCGCCTTGATCACAGCCTGCGCGAACGTGCCCTTGACATTGAGCGTCTGGGGCAGGACGGCAGCAGACAAGTGCAAGTCTGGCAAGTCCTTCACGGGGAGGCGCGTTTGCGTGTGAATCTCGTAAACCACCGCCAATTCCTCCAAGCACGCTGCGCCGTGGGAGTCCTGGGGGGCAGCATCACAGCGGTCTGGGCACACACGGATGCGCCACCACTTGAGAAGCCGCTCGTAGAACAGGCGGCTGCGCACCAGGTTTTGCCCAACACCGCCGGGGGCAGGAGAGCGCCGTCTTTCCGCCACGGGGTGGCGAACGCAGGTGTCACGCCCCACGCCAAAGGGTGCTGCGGTCGCAGGGTGTCGGGGTCGTCGGCGCCGCCGTGGGCAGGGTCGCCATGGGCGTCGCTGGCCTGTTCAGTCAAGCATGCGGCGTTGCACCGCAAGCTTGAGACACTGCGCGCGGCAAGCCAAGAACGC